ATTACTTCTTTACAATAGAGTTTTAGGGGATATTGGAAGGCAATTGTGTGCGTTTGTATTTAAGGACTAATTCTGTGTTAATTCTGTGCAAAACGGAGGTGACGTAATTTGCATCGGGATCGATGTCCAATGCTGCCTTAAGATTGATCAATATAATTGCAAGGGGATGCTCAGCCTTAATTCTATCGTCCCTGTTATTCTTTTGATTTACATAATACACGTATTGTTGTGTGGACATTACTAAACCTTTTTCATTTTGATAATCCGAAAAAAATATATATTAAAATCTAGCACGTAAGACTGGGAATAGGTCATGTTTTTAAAATATTTTATTTCTGATTTTATACATGTTATCATTTAAAAAATATTTTACTGAACTACTAAAAAAATAACGTCTCTAATACAACCACAAATAGATCGGCCGCTCCTGCGGCCGAAAATAATGCTATAAAATGGACCCCTCGAAATCAAATTGCTTTAAATATATAGTGATTTTTTTTTCATTATTTTTTTGAGTAAACATTTAACTATAACATTTTTTCATGTGATCAAGACAAACCCCTTCCTATTCAGACCTTATCATTAGATACGTCGTGGGATTAAATTAACTGCGGGACGTTGAGACTGTTCGGATGATATCATATAAATCGGTGTCCCCCGTTGTTTTTTCACGAAAAAGATCCCTCACTGTTCAAAGTCTCTTTTATTTGGTTTAGTATATGAATTTGCTAACTCTGCAAATTCCGGGGGGGGGGGCGGACCAAACTACCCCTATCCCTTTTAGATCTGCAAATGAGCAAGTTGTGTTTCCATGAGTGAAGGATTCTCGAGGGGGTCAATAAACAACAATTAATCCCCCCTTACGAGTTGAAACAACTTAGCTACAGCATATGAAATTAATAGCTATCTGATTTACATAAAATTTTTCACCCTTGGAAAAGAATGTCTCTGATTTTTTTTAAATACAACATTCCATTTATTCATATCATACGAAAGCCCAATGAGCTCATTTTCGTAGGTAAGAAAAATAATTTTTTTGGCGTTATAACGCGTACCTTTCGCGAATAAACGCGTAACTTTCGCGATATAACGCGAAACTTTCGCGAATAAACGCGTAACTTTCGCGTTATAACGCGAAACTTTCGCGATATAACGCGTAACTTTCGCGATATAACGCGAAACTTTCGCGAATAAACGCGTAACTTTCGCGTTATAACGCGAACCTTTCGCGATATAACGCGTAACTTTCCCGTTATAACGCGAAACTTTCGCGAATAAACGCGTAACTTTTTCGTTATTTTGCGAAAAAATATTATGCTAGAATAGGATAGATTAGTCATCAGAATATTTTATTTTATTTTAAAAATCTTACTATTGAATTAATAAAATGAATTTTACTTTCTTGTACATGTTTTTCAATTGCTAAATTCTTTAGACCGATTATTTCTTAAGGAAAATCTCCATTTGACATTTTTTTCTAGCTGTTTTTTAATCAGTAACATTTACTTCAACTGTACCACTAGTAAATTAAGCAATCAATCATTTTGGACAAAAAATTATACACTGTAGAAACATAACTTAAAAGTGAATGAACAATGTATAATTTCATTGTCTCCAATATTGGGTTATAGAGAAGTTCGTGGACTAGCCATAAATAAAAACTATGAAGGTATACAGCAGAGTTTGTACACTTTGAATTGTCAATGTTTTCGTAAGCAATGGAATGAAAACGTGGTGCAACCTCAAAATAGGATATCTAATTTCCACAGTGAATCTAAAGGAGACAAATAAAAAATCTGCTATCCAATTTTCACAAATGCGGTGGAACACAATTGACAAATTTACCTCATTTTGACAATTTTCTGAAATCTTGATCTCTATAGAATAAAATTATTTCAAATTCTCTAGAGAGTGCATAAAAAAACGGAAAAGGGGTGATTTCCCCCGAAATTAATAAGCTTGAAGTTTAACTTTTGGAACTCGCATAAACTTTGAATTGGTTGAACAGCGTTGAGAAAGACAAATTGTGACGGTTAAGATGGATTCAATAGCAAGAAAGCTTAAAATTTAACTTGTGATAGTCCAAGATCAAAATAGCCTTTTGATTATCATTGTATTAAATGAATAAAATTGATGACAAAATCAAAAGAACGTTGAGACTAAAGCAAATGTCTCGTTAAACAGCAAAAGTTTCGCGTTATGACGCGAAAGTTACGCGTTTTATCGCGAAGGTTTCGCGTTATAACGCGAAAGTAACGCGTTTATTCGCGAAAGTTACGCGTTATAACGCGAAAGTTTCGCGTTTTTACGCGAAAGTAACGCGTTATAACGCGAAAGTTTCGCGTTATAACGCGAAAGTAACGCGTTTATTCGCGAAAGTTTCGCGTTATAACGCGAAAAATTTATTTTTTTTACCTACGAAAATGAGCTCACTGGGCTTTCGTAATATCATGTAATGTACAAGTGAGTTGAAATTTCACTGTTATCTTTTATTTTAATATTTCCAAATGGTTAATGTAAACAACATTCAATCAACAATCACTTATACCACATTCAATGACTGACTTTTCATAGTCATTTCACATAGAGGTTTATCTGTTTTCGAGGAGGGTTCCACGGCATCTAATTTATTTCCGCTCAAATTACTTTTTTAATTTCTTTTTTATAAACAGAAAAGCACATGCTGATTTACTATCATTTTGTTTTAATTGTGTTCAATTGTTGTGCTGTTTACTTAAGTTTTTTTTTATGAAAGACTAATTACACGCAGAATTGTAATGTGGTGTGTGGATCAAATATCTACAGGTACATTCATTTTATTCCGAATCATCTTTTTTATTTTAACTGTGAATGTTATATAATACTTATTAAGATGCAGAATTCAGTATATTTAATATATGAAAGCCAGTTGTCCCAGTTGACAAAAAAATCATATTCATATAATAGAACAAGATATCTTCGACAAATCGGCGCATTAGAAAGAAGGGGGGGGGGGACGGTGGTATTTATATGACTGACGCTGACCGATATTAACCTGGTTTTGACTTTGGAATAGTTTTCGCTTTGTTTTATAAAAACGTTACTTACATACCCTTTAAGTTGCATTTAAAGAAACCAATATTAATTTATTACACGTATAGAACATTGTATATAAATAAATTGTGTGTGCAGAATGAGCAATTAATTCAGCTGCAGTCTTGTACACGTGATTCGAAAATAGATAATACCAAACTGTAGGGAGTGGGGTACAATAGCAGTCATAACTTTGTATATTTTTAGGTGTTATCAAACAGATAATGTTCTTGGAAGTTCATTCTATCGTAACCTAATTCATTATGTTTTATCCATCAACAATTCACAACTGATTAGGCAAAAACGTCACGATTTCGATGGGATGTCCAATGCATCGTTTTCATACGAGTTGATTTTCGAAAAGGGTAGCAAATTATGAATGATATTGTTGAAGCTAGAGTTTAATTAATACATTATACCTTTATATTTTTGCATGTAATATTCAGAAACCATTCTGTCTAAAAAATAAAGGTTGGATTGACACAGGTGTGCATGTGTAATGCGAGGTACAGCGGTATATAAGGTAAATGACTGCGTGAGTGTAGCAAAATTCGGAATTATTATACCCAAAATCACAGCATATTTCAGCTACCATGTCATAAATTGATAACAATTTCTTACATTTATTAGTAGATGTATTAAAATATGTTTTTAAAATATGTACGGTGATATAAAAACACAATATCATATCTATTGGAAATTATATTGATGTAAATTATGATAATTGATTACTTGGAATGACAGGAAAGCTTTTCGTTCATCGATCGATTTTTCATGCTCCGCAGGCCTCCACCAATACGATACTTCAATTGTTGATAGATTTGTTAATAATGAACATTTACATGAAATTTTGTTTTGGTGGGTGTGTGCGGAGGTATTTTTTTTAATCAATTTATGGCACAAATTATGAGATTTTGATGATTTTTGCCAAATTACGTCAGGTTTACGTCACAAATATGACGTCATAAGTAGTCAATCTCCCGAACTTTTGCTATTTGTGGAATGTAATGATGGTAAACTGTGAAATATAAGTAAAGTCGATTTTATTAACTAGCTTTGAAAATTCGAAAAATTTGGGGCCGATTTTCGCACATGGAGCCCCTACCTCTTTGAACGTATTAGTAAGTTTACAATTTTCCGTATATAACTTAATTTTTGGAAGTATTATAAAGTAAAGTGTGAATTTAACAAAAAATAATGAGGTAAAGATCTACGTTAAATTTTATTAAACGAACAAATTTAATATGACCATAAAACTTTATTTTATGGCCATGTTTAATAATAATTATACGTTTTGTATATTAGAGGTATAATATTTGTTTACGACAGACTTAAATCCGAACGTATTAGTAAGTTTACAATTTTCCAAACTTTATTTTTGTTCTTTTAATTTTTCATTAAACTCGTATTGAATGCTAATTATTTTCTAACATTTACGATCCCACAATATGTTATATTATGCATTTAAACATTAAATAATCGCAGCATTTAAATCGCATTTAAGGTAAAATTAAACCCGACTTTTCATGCAGTGTTCCTTCCGCGAAATGATTACTATTTCGGAAGTTATTTCTTTACGCTGTGTATGACATTTCTATTATATTTCACAACAGAACATGATTTTCTATTTATATATTTTTCAAAAATATGACACAATTTATTATCTATAGTATAAACATTCAAATAACGACTTCCGTTCTCAATGTCATATTTTGAAGTGCGCCGCTGTGATAAGTCTATTGTCAATAAAAGCAAGACTTTTATTAAGAACTTTCACTCCTCTGCTTCCAGGAATATTCTGCAGATCGAGGGCTAAATTCTGGTTTAGGTCGGAGTCTGAATCCTTCGTTTATGTGCATGTTTCATGGGAAAATTTTACTTTTTTAAAATTACAAACAATTAAGATGTTCTTTTTATCTTTATAACAGATCTTCCTTCTGTGTTTACAAATCATGATACAGATTTTTCCGAACACAGAGTTACACTGATATGCAAAGTGTTAGTCACTGAGGGATCTCCAGATGTAGAAAAGGTTGTATGGACTAAAGAGAAAAAGCAAATCGATATTTTGGGAAGCGGAGGAAAATATACCGGTGGAAACGAAACTTATCCTTCGCTAGTTATACACGGAGTGAATTCTAACGACGCTGGAGAATATCAGTGTCGAGTTTCTAATGCAGTGGGAGATACATATAGCAATCCGATTCATTTAGGTAATGTTAGAAGTAACAATGTAGAAAACAGACACAGAATCACTTGGGCGGGGTTTAAAATGAAAACAAATGTCACTAGTGCTAATTGTAACGGGAACCGTTACAGATGTTCCCCAAACGCTCCCCAACTCCCTTTTGGTGCCATATTCCCTGTAAGCTTCATTAAATAAGACAAACTCTGTGCATATATGACTTTAACAACGTTTTCCCAGAAGGATACCAATTATATTCAAATTTTACCATTGTACCTGTGCACATGTGAATACATGTGCGATATGACCATATCATCTTGTCTACACTATCTATATATTTTAATATACTATATATTAAAGCATTCAGTCCAAAAATATTAAAAATCACTCATTCAAGTGTTTTTTTAATTTCACTCGTTCGAAATGCACGCACGTGCGTGCACGAGCATGATCACAATACTTTCTTGTAGGAGTCCCTTATATCTATCAGTATTCTAAATCCCATCCTGTTTGGTTGAAAAACAAGGGAGTTATAGCCATTTCAAGTTTCAGCCAATCAGATTGCAGCACACGTGCATGCTCGTAAATTCATGATTTTTTTTCTATATCATCTTGTAGGATATCCCAATGCATGACTATATTTTAAATTTTAAAGCATTTCGTCAAAATACAAAGGAGATATAGCCATTTAAAGTTTCAGCCAATCAGATTGCAGCACACGCGCATGTGCAACCTTTCATGAACATTTTTATATATCATGCTGTAGATCTTCATAATGTAGGACTATGTTCAAAATTTCAAAGGATTATGACAAGAAACAAGAAAGATATTGAGACTTTAGTTTCAGCCAATCAGAGCAAAGCGCACGTGCATGCGCGTGAGTTCTTGCTATTTTGACCATGCCAGCTTGTGCATACTACTAAAGTATCCTTACATTATGAGTTTCAAAAAATTTCATCAAAAAATAGAAAAGTTACGGCAATATCCATTATATTGTTCATTTCACGTTTTGCACGTGCGCGCTCTTGCAAGCACGTGCGCGCAAAATGACCTTGATTCCGCAAATCTACATAACATGTCTACTGACCCTAAAAAGGTTTTACCTACATCGGACGAACAGTTTACAAGATCATTCCCGGACAAAAAAGTACCCAGGAAGAAGAAGAAGAAAAATAATAATAATAATAATAATAAGAAACAGAGTAAAAACAATATGTTCCCCAACTTCGTTTGGGGAACATAATTAATATGTCTATTTGTAGAAATTGCAGATTTACAAAAAATTATGATGGTTTTAATTTCACTTCTTTCGCAAATCTTCAAGTGATAATTCAACTTATACTCATAGTTTGTTCCCTTTCTAAGCGAATGTTTCTCTAAAATCGAATGGAATGTTTATTTTGGTAGAATATTCCAAACAATTTCAATATATTTGAAATATTATACCTTTACTGGATTCTTAAACTTCATAAAAGGATACCAGTAAATGTTTTGGCAAGCCTTTTTCTATACTTCTCTCAAACTTTTTGTAGCAGTGATAGGAAAACGTTAGGAGTACTGTACAGCAATTTGATTGAGTGATGATTATCAGATTGGGATACTTGAAAACTCAAATCAACTTTTAAAAATTTGAAATCACCATTGTAAACTTAGGGTGAAAAATGAGTCTGTATATATGTACATATGTCGATTTGAAATTATTTTTCTATAAAATTTAATTAAACATATTGACAGTACAACAAATATCCAGGAATAAAGAGGATCTTGCCACTAGATGTAATTAACATTATACAACTTAAGGCAGACTCAATATTTTCATGTGCATTTGTAACTGAAGATTGGATATAATACTGTTGATTATGTGCAGATACCCGATAGGCAACGCCCCTCGTGTAATTATGACCACTCCCATAGGGTATCTGCACATTACCAACAGTATTATATGGGGTAACTACTACAAGTAAAACAAGTTAAATTGATGTAAGGCATCAAATCGGCCGCACACAAAATTAAGCATTTCAAAAAGCACTTTCACAATTTTAAAAGCATCCATGCAAGAAAGCACAAGCTATTCAAAGCTGAAATAGTGATCATTTCTTCAAAGCGCAAAATAAATATTTTTTAAAAAATTAAATAGAAATTATAGTGCATTTGCTTATCAAATGGATTCATAGATGAAATAAAGTCAATGATAAACGAAAAGAATTTATTGTTATCGAAATGAAGATGTAGGCATCTCAAGATGAACCACGTGCAGATACCCTGGATCTTTGTGACGTGATAATACCCATGGTTTTTGCAGAGTAAGATATGCTGCAAGGCGCGGTGCAAAATGTAGAAAAAAAAATTATCCTTGTGTCATTCGCAGCTGTAGCATATTCAAAACAATTTTTACTAGTTGAACAATTTTTCAATATTTAAATTTAATCCACCATGCCCTTTTACCACGTCATTATTATCCGGAAAATCATGATGATTTCCATTCATACCTTACACACTCCCAAGCTGGGGAGCATCTATTGTAACTCTTTTTATTTAACCTTAAATTATCAATTATCTGATGAGAAATTATAATGAAATTGAAACATAACAACAACAATTAATAATTAGTTTTAAGCAGGTTTTTTTAAAAAAAAATTTTACTCATGATTTTATACGTTATCATTTAAAATTTATTTTACGGAACTATAATTAGAAAAATAACGTCTCATTTCCCCATGTGCACTTTCTAACACAACCACAATTAGATCGGCCGCTGCTGCGGCCGATAATGATTTCCATTTTTATTGAAAAAGCAGCTGTAAATGATATCGAAAAGCCTAGACTTTAACTTATCGAGGGGAATGGTTGTGTATAAAGTTGAAAAGTCGTAAGCTTCATACGCAATCTAATTAAAATTAGATGTTAGATCCGCTCGCATGCTAGTTTCATTTACATCTAACAACATCCCATTGAGGATCACGTCAGAGGTCAGATTCTATCAACCAATCAAATTGTCGCCTTCAAAATCATTGTATATTGTTTAAGCGAATAAGTCTATAGCTGTTACAAATTTGACCTCTGGCGTGACCATATTTGGGATGCTTTTAGATGTTAGTGTAGCGAGTATGCGAGCGGATCTGACATCTAATTTTAATTAGGTTGGCTTTATACGTTTTCCAGTACAAATTTAGTGATTTTCTTTTTACTGGATGTTAAAGTAATATTAATTTCTTCTCCTATTTTGTATTAGGTCTGCCGCATATTGAAAAAGATATTACATGCTCAGAGGAAGATGGCGAAAATCTTCTTACTTGTAAAATTACCGTGAAATCCATACCGGAGGCAAAAGCAGCTGAATGGAGAGTTCAACAAGCCCCGGAAGATGTTTTTCAAGCCATCAATATTCATGAATCAACATTTAGAGGTTCTACAGTTTCTTTACCACATCCAATCCTGAATGTGCATGGATTTAATCCAGAACTGCAGCGTCTGATTCAATTCACAGCGACTAATTTCATTGGTGAAAAGACAACAGTTATTCAAAGTACAATCGGTTCGTTACTTGATCGTCTATTTCAGCATATATTCAATTAAATAAAACAGTGAAGATATGTGATAAGAATTAAATAGAGAATGATACGGTAAATATCAGAATAAAAATAGAATTCTCTTCTTACCCATAGATCTGAAAAATTATCTCATTTTTTGTTTAAGTGAATAAACTAGATTGTCTGTACTATAAATGGTAAAATGTTAATTTGAAAAAAATAAATACTGTGTATGACTAGTATTTATATTTTACAGGCGAAAAATATCCAAAAGAAGATGCTGTAATGAAAGAAACTGGTAAGTATTAAAATATAATAAATGAAAGGGAAAATTATTGATTTTTAATTTTTTTTTTTTTCAACAGATTCCCATATAAGTAAATATGCAAACGGAAGTGCTGCTGTCCTCTTTGCCAATCTAAGATACGATCTTATAGAATTATTTCCACAAGATAAGATAGAAAACATCAAATGTTTACTTCACGGTAAGTATTTCGTCCTTTGGATTTATATACACTGTCCTAATAAATTTGTTTTTTTTAATTTATCTAATATGTTGGTGTTTGTTTTTATCAAGAAGATGGAAGCAAGTTAAATAATTTGGAATGCCTATCGGTTTCAAAAGCATATGACTGGAAGAATTTGTAAAAAAGAAAAATGATTCTTTATTGCCAATATAAGCTTAATATGGTCAAAGAGAAAAAAACTTATAGGATAATTAGGGACCATTTTTCGTCCCTCTGTCTCTCTGTTCCTATGTGTATCTGTAAACAATTTAACAAGAAGTTTATCAGCATCGGTCAACAGGCCGAAAATTAATCCCCTAGGCACCTAATCCCTGCTCTTTCATTTATAGGGGTTCCTGTGTCATGCCTTTCAACATTTGTTTTGTTTATGATTTTTTTTATACCAATCACTGTTTGTTTATTTACCTTTAACACATGAATATCAGCAATCTCGTTTAAAGTCATCATTTTGTAAATTCTATGTTAGAAACAATGACCTTGTCAGCAAATACAGTTAATAATTGAGACAAATGCTGACTGACGTTTTTCATACTTATTGTTAGTCCATTATTTATACACTGAATTGACGATTTTCCGTTATTTCGCGATCATGACAAGGAGCACACGGCGGATGTGACCGGTCAGCAGGGGGTGCTCACTCCTCCATGGCACCTGATTCCACCTCCTAACCCTAACCCTATTTAAGAATATTTTTTGGTTCAATTAATAGTTTCAATTAAAAGTGATACTACCTTCTTAGTCCTAAGTAAAAAACAGTAGACTATAGTTGCATTAAACACCTTTATTCTTTTTATTATTGTTTTATTTATTCATTTATTTTTTTTGAATTTCAGAACTTAATTATGTAGACGAATTAATTCAGGGACTTTACAACAGTGAAATCTTAATTTAAATCTTAAAACTTTGAAGAGCATAAATTTTATGAAGGAATTTTACAATTCTTTTGTTCTAAAGATTCTTTTCTTTTTGTTTTTTGAACAGGCTTAAGCATTATGGATCTAGACAGAGTTAATGAAATGATTTCCATGAGTGACATTTTAAATATTTTGGAAAAGAAGGGTTATTTCAGTTCAGAAGATGTGATATGGGTGCAATATTGTCTACGAAAGATCGGATGCAACGAACTTTACAAAAAATGTTATCAGTATGCTAAACAGAATGAGGCACTGTGTTTCTACGAAAATCAACCAGGTAATATTGCATTTTTAAATAGTGTATTTCACAAACATGCGCCTATGAGAAAGAGAGAGGAAGGCGCGATAAAAATATGAATCGTTTTATAACACATTATGAATCATCTCTTGATGAAAGGTAATGAAACAACATATTAATGCAATAAACAATAATATATTTATCAATTAAGTCAGATTACGGAAGCCAGTATGTATTTCTGAAAGATTCATAGTATTATTTCAATTATATCATATCTCTCATGACGTTACGTACATTGTTGGTGTCATTTAACAATTTAATAAAATGATATTTTAATAATATATTGTTTCTTAAATGTCATCAGTTTCACAAGTGCACGAAAGTCAGTCAATAAATCGTACCTCAATAGCACGGTTGGTAAATGTAAAAGCGCTGGCATGGTACGCCAGAGGCCCTGGATTCGAGAACCGGTTGAGACTTGATTTTTCATCAACCGTGACATAAATAGGGAAAGTTGACGATAAAAAATTCTATTGACATCAACGTACGTACATTATGTCAAGATGCTACGTGCCTGTAAAGTTTTCATTATATGCGGAATCAATTGCAAGAGTTTTCTAGGAACTCATTTTTAAGGACCCCAAGTCTTTATCATTAATCTTTAAATAGAAAAAACACAGCTGATAATTTTATAATAATCATTAACAGAATTATGTCAGTTACTTTTTCCATACATAGGTGACAGGTAGTTGGGCGTCTCGATTCTCTTTCCCTGTGCGAGTTGAAACTAACAAGACAAAAAAGCCAAATTGCGAATGGTTTAATGACTGATATTTCAACTAATTTCAAGTGCAAAGGTCAAAAACGCAAAACGAAGTTGGTTTAACGTCTTAAATATTCAACGTTTAAAAATGTAAGCAGCATAGACTTTTATGGTGATTTTCATGAGTCGAAACTATTTTTTTACAAGGTCAATGATTGTTTCTTTCGCCAAACTCCTGATATCAAAAATAAAAGACAAACTTAAAAGCTAAGGTCCCTGTCATAGCAGGACATGGCACGAAAAGGAACGCCACTACACAATGAATTTTGACCTTATGACCTAAAATTATCACAAGGATTCTTTCACGCATGATACATTTTTTTTTAAATTGCAACACATCAAACTATAAGCGAAAGAGTTACAGGTAGTCATAATTACAAGTTTACAGAGCAAGAAATGGAAATGTCCAAATTTTTATTCATCGCTTTAAACGAGTAGAGATTTAAGGACAATCTAGTTTGTCTTCTTTGTTGGAAAAAAAAGTAAAAAAGGTGGTTTAATTTTTTCTATTTCAATTTTTTTTAATTTTTATTGCAGTAAGAAATGGCTATAAGCATGTTGGATTTCACGTGGCTGGAAACATAAAAAAATACTCAACTAAGGAAATATTTCAAATACAAAAAACAGTAGCCTCTATGATAGGATGTCCTATAGAAGAGGTAATTATCGACGGACTCAAACCTGACGAAAGCTTTGTGGTTGTATTATCGATCAAAGATGCATATATAGATGCATTACTGGCGCTTGCTGAACAGATTTTAGACAATCTATATGAATTGAATGTAGATTACCTGGTTTATGATGAGGCAAAAATTAGGAGGACATTCCTTGGTGAAGGTATGATACTTTGAGAACCCATATGTAGATATTTCAATGAATATGTTTTCACTTGTTTTCTGACTGTTAGCGTGAATGTTTTTCATGCATTTGATTAATGACATGAAGTAACTGTGCAATTGAGCCAATCAAATGTTCACTGAAATTTTGAAAGGCAGCTGTTTGACAAAGCTCTGTCATTCAGTCATCTTTCAGTTTTATTAAATTTAGCAAAATATCATAATCTTATTATTTGAACTATTGCACTAATTTGTAAGAAATATCTATATCTTTTTTTTTGGGGGGGGGGGGGGGGGAAATCATACATTTAAGAAGGAATATTAACATTCTTTCATACAATCTGCTAGAAATCGTATTTATCCAATTTTCTCATTAATTCATGTTTGAATAAAAGAATATCGAAAGGTTTATAATTCTCAAAAAAACATGTTATTTTAAAATTTTAATTAACGCTAGGTGCCACGGCAAGTGAAATAAGACCGCTTATTTCCTCTTCCATAATGCCAAAGCCGGTCACTCAAGTAACGTCTGCAGCGACGGACACAGAAGATATCAATTGTCTGTCTTCCGTCATTCGAAAAAGCCAGTCCCATAAAAAGATAGCAAAAAACATTACTGAAAGGTATGACAACATCATATAATAAGTTTACAAACCTTTGCAAATTAGACAATCAGAAAGTAATTTAGAGAAGAAAAATAACATTCTTGTCTAGAAATTCAGCTTTTCCTTTATTTCACAGTCAAATACAAAAATCGATGAAAAGAATGAAAATATCTTCAATTCAGGTAAATCAATTTATCTATATTTCATATAACTTGGGAAGCTATTAAGATTAAATTCCTTATAAATTGATTTACCACCAGAAGTGTAGAAAATAAGACAATTTTTCATTTTCAAATGCCTTCAAATTGTACATATTTTAAATGTAATGTCGAACACATTGATTTGTTTTTGACGTATGTTATTGTGACCTATGTAACGCAGGTTATACGATATATATCCTATTTTTTGTGTCGCCTGCGGAGCAGAACGGCATTAAAGACTTAAGGATCACTTTACCCCTTGTCTGTCTGTCTGTTCCTCCGTCTGTCTGTGCGTTTGTCACACCTTGTATGTCAAGAAGTGTAACCTACAAGAACCTACCCCTAGAACCTAACCCTACCCTCTTCCTCACTCTATATACTTTTAAAAAATGTTTCAAGGAGTTTGCAGGTCTATTTAGTAGACCAGTCCCTATATGTCATTCGAAATATGAGAAATGTTAAAATATTCCATAAAAGTAAATTATCGGAAATACTTCTGATGCATGCCTGTCCATACCATCTTCTCAAGTCAATAGTTTAAAAATACTAATGTAGGAAGGTGATAAAATAAAGTGAAATACATTTATCAACGTCAATTTCCTTCAATACCTGAACTGTATAGGCTCTCATTAGTCTTATTTTAAAGAGGTAAATCCTTTCTGCTTGAGTGGTTTTCAAGATCATATTTTTTTTGTTTTTTAACATAGAAATAGTAACTTCGAAGTTTCAGGTAATTGAGGTTGAGTAAAAAGATGAAAGTGGAATGAGTAGAGATTAAAATTGAACTATGGAATAATTCAGTATTTTAAAATCCCTTATAACGTTTCTGCACAAAATAGAATAACTATTTTTGTGTGATATTTTAGGGGGGGGGAGGTTAATCAATATTTTGAAAGCGTTAAAGAAGCTTAATTTTGAAACAATCAATCCTTGATCAGGGATATATGTTTTGAGTGTGCATTCATGGACCTTTGATTTGCACTATGTAGTTGTTGCGCTATCTATAGCTAATAATTGAATCAATAATTTATTCAAATGTATTCCTTAAAAAATTATAAGTTCATGATAAAACAGTAAAACGTCGTACCTTAATAAACAGAAATTTCTTAAAATATAGCAACCATACTGGCCCTGTTAGCAAAAACTTTATATTGCATTAAGAGTTTTAATCTGGTATATATATACATATAAGTAAATGAAACCGGTAGAGTGTATTTCGGTATTGTGATTTTTTTTTGTTTGTTATATGAGTCTTTAACGAACTAAACTAAATGTCATTTAAGTCCACAACAATTCAAAACTATAGCCATCTTGATCTATTTTCAGAGATATAAAACTATGTCCTTTACATGTGAAACATGCAAGAAAGATTTAAAAAATCAACACAAGATGAATATGCATAAGTCCAGAATGCACCCAAATGTAACCTGTGAAATATGTCTACGCGAATTTAAAAATCAACTTGGTCTCAAAATCCACCTGTCAAAAATGCACCATCATCATATGTATTCCCGTGGTCATACAGATACTGAGCTTTATACAAGACAATCTGCACGACATGAAAATCATCATAGAAAAGACAGAAGAGACGAAAAGAATAGTGGTCGACAAGGTTTTCTTGCTACAGCCTTTCTAAATAAAGATTGGTACTTGAAAAGATCGACCTTTATCACCAACATATCTAACATTGGTCCGCAACAAGAAAATAAAAGTGATATAGGAATACGACCAAAATCAGTACCACCTAAATTGATAGATAGTTCTCAAACATATTCTTCTATGCCACGAAAGAGAGAAGTTATTATGGAGTCTGCTAAAATTATACAGCCATCCCCACAAACTTTAATCAGACCCCAAGAGAAAACAGGGGAACGAAGTAAACCAAAAGAACCGTCGCAATTTGATAGGACACCTTTGTCATTGTCAAGTAAGAAAAATCAAGTAGTTTTATAAAAAAAAAAATCGTTGAACCATGTTATGCATGTATTTCTGTGCATTTCTTGATAAACAAATAATATTATATCCACATTTTTTTTTATATCTACTGATAAATTCAATTCGTTTCAGATTCGTCACTCTCATATCTTGAGTCAGATAAATGTAAATATCTTACCATTCTAAAGGCAGGATTTATTTGTTCTAAAGAGGATAGTAAATTAATCATAGATAGAGTCAATTTATTTGTTCAACGATTAGAAGAAATGGTTGCCAGAGGTTCGGATTGTTCGATGGAATTGTTTAAATCTGGATCTTACTACGATATAACCAAGGTACAACACTAGACCATTTCTTATCCTTATAGACCGTAATATTGTTAATAGATAGAGCTGATAGAATTAAAAATATCAGTTCAAAAGAGAACTTAATTTTAGCTATCCATTGCATCATAGTAGAGTTTTAGTACATAACATATATTAACTAAAAACTATGTGCAAGTTCCAAACTTTCGTAATTATTCCACCTGTGCAGAGGATTTTGTATGTTTTAATTTAAATCGTTGTATTTACAGATAGGTTATGACGATGACTTCGATTTCATGTTTTACCCAAAAGCCAATTTTGAGGCCGAATTTGCCAATTGTCCGCCAGGATACTGCCAAATTAAGAAATGTCTAACAACGACTCAGGACCTGGATAAGATGTTTAACAAAGATGGTTACCTTGTTCCCGGGATTTTTAAAGAAAAGATGTTCAAAACTTTTGAGAAGTGCATTGAAAGTCCCGGCTTCCGAGAGGGCAAAAGAACAAGGAGTATATATTTCTTTAAATCTTACTGAAACTATAACTATTAAATTTATGAAAGATTTTGCTTTATAGAAAAAATTTGTTCTGAACTGATTTGATAATCTGTTGATGTTTTTATGAACTTGGTATTCTGACTTTTATATAAAACTTCAACAAGAACTGTTTATTAAATATCAATTAATTTCTGTACACATTGAATATTTATCGTATCATAAAAGTTTAATATTGAACTTTGATATTATAGACTTAGACAGGTATTGGCTGGCCGAGGCCGAAGGCCAAGACTGTTAAGTCAAATGTGCATAAAATTTCAAAGTAAACATCCGTTCGTTATATAATAAGTAATGTTAGACTTTCACGCCAAACATTCTTTTCTTTTTATCGAATATAATATACGCGTAATATGTTTTGTACGTAAAATGAAAAATAATTTTATTTAAACAGTTTAACAACTGTTTAAAAAGTTGGACAATAATATTATGAAACAATAATTAACCATAAACTAATATTTTAGGTTGGAGTCTTTGATTCTAGCGTGTGCATTATGTACTTTACTTTCCAACGAAACATGCTATAATTTTTTTTAATTTGGTTCGTTGTTAAAATTGTCAGAAATTTCATATTTAGTCAAGGAGGATGAAATTAACTTCAAGATTTTCATTTTAAGGTGAACTTTCTCTAAGTGTCTCTCAAAGACGAGAGTTTGGCCCTATCAAAGAACATCAATTTTAAAAATCATATCATATATAAGTACTGTAATTAAGTATAATTATATTTCTTAGGAAAGGTGCAGAATCCCGAAAGTCCTGCCTTTACGATTTTCTATGATCTACAACTCCAGGGTAAACCTCCAATCAACATAAATCTAATTCCAGCTATTAAAGTGGATGGATGGCCCTCGACATTTAGAAAACCTAATGCAAATTGGATCAGCGATGACCATGCTAAGGAAGCCATGAAATGTTTTCACGGTATAACGAAAAGCTTTCCAGGAAGTAAGGAATATTTTGTTACATATTTTGATATACTGTATCATAGGATTAATATGATAAGAGCAACAATTTGTGTCTATTCAGTGAAACTTGTCTAACGCAGATGTTGTGTATTTCAAAATCTTGCTAAAACGATATAAACAAAGTCACCGTAAGCAATTTCACTTATGTTATTAAATCTGGAATTTTGGCTAAGCCGTCCAATTTCTTGGGAAATAGTAGTGGGAGGATCAGACGTGTTACCGTCCAAAGCGGTTATATAAAGTTTTGAACACATTTAAAGCAAAATACGTTTTCCTGGAAAAAAATTAATGAACAAAAATAGAAACAATAGAAGTCAAGATGTTGTCATGTTCAGTATTTACGAAAACAGTAGTTTGAACAATTAATTACAATACAGATAATGTAACAAAAAATGTGATCGAAACCATTTTTTTTCACTGAAATAATTTTTGTATCTAGATTATGCAGATGCAGCACTTCTTTGGGGGGTGTCGTTTTCACATGCAGAAAGGAATCTGATTCACCACGCAGATAGTAAAGACAAAGGTGTCCGTAGGACAATCTTCAAAATTTTAAAGAAATTAATGGAAGACCTCAAAACCGATTGTCCTCAAATTGAAAAATTCTGCAGTTATCATCTGAAGATGTTTATCCTAGGCTTTTTTGATAGACACAAAGACTTTTCTGAGAAAAACGAGGAGTATTTGTTCAATCAAAGTATCAAGGAACTTATTAAATGTCTAAAGGGAGGAGAAATTAGAAATTATTTTATTCCAAGCGACAATATTTTACAATATATACCGAACAATGAAAAAGATCTTATCGCAGGAAAACTTGGAGAATATATATAGATTTATTGGCAAGGAAATGTTGAAGACGACCAGTAGTATGAGAGCGAAGTTTTTGCATTTACGGTTGTAAAATATTTAAAGATTATACATACGAGGGTTATTCGAAAAGTTCGTGGACGATGTCAATCTTTGTTATACTACTTTCAAGAAATATAAAATAAGCTCAATATACTGTGTAAAATATTTGCTCTATTAATGTGTGAAGTTTCATTTCATTCGATATAAAAGAAATCAATTTACTTCATTTTAAATTCAACATGTTTTGTACCCGCGGAGCATACTTAACGGCAAACGTCAAAAGCATAACATCAAGAATTTGTTTTAAAAATTATCCTCATACATTTCGACAGTGTAGTTCAATAATCAATTATTAAAATCCCTTTTCTATCACTTGAAATTCATTTTTCAAATTGTTTTCGTTGTATAATTTCCTTTGTCAGTTTTTTAATTTCTTATTTCTAATTTCTCCGTTATAAGTAGACCTATTTTTATATTCATATAAGGCAGAATTTGTGAAAAATCTTGTGCGTGAAAAGAAGAAAACACTTGCTGTGACCTTCAACTCGACATTTAGATATATCGACAACGTGTTGTCAATTAAAAATGGTCATTTCCATTCCTACGTCGATACGATATATCTTAGTGAGCTTGAGATAAAATATACTAAAGAGTGTGACACATCTGTTTCATACCTTGGAATTTTACTTGAAAAATACGTAAATGGTAATATAACAGTTAAGCTATGTGATAAACGTGGTGACTTTAACTTTTCTATCGTCAACTTCCCTTACTTATGCAGTGTTTACATCTCAGTTGATTCGATACGCAAGAGCATGCTCTACGTATGAACAACAATTTCTAAAACGAGGTAATTTATTGACAAGCAAGTTGATGAAACAAGAATTTCAACTGTCTCGTTTAAAGTCATCATTTCGTAAATTCTACGGTCGATATAATGACCTTGTCTGCAAATACAATTTATCATTAAGACAAATACTAACTGACGTTTTTCATACTAATTTTTAGTCTATTTTTGAATTGACGACGGATTTTCCCGTTATTTCCTGATAATGACAAGGAGCATACGGCGGTTGTGACGGTCAGCAGGGGACGCTCACTCCTCCATGGCACCTGATCCCACATCTGTGTTTGCTCTTCTCCTATTTTGTATTGTTTTATGGACATTGATATTGAATATCTCCATATCCTTCTTTTACCACTTAGCTGTGCTTTCACAAGATCAGCAACTCGGAAGCGCCTATGGCTTTCCATGACGTTTCAAATTAAAAATTTTTGATAAGATTTATCAGATAAACCGTTTCTTCACAGATTGCCCTCGTCCGAGTTTCTGTCACTCAAATACTGCCTCTACCATTTATAAACACATGCGCGATTTTTTTTGACATAATTTTTTATTCCATTAACATTTAAGAGTTAATTCAGGATTTTTCCTATTTATAACATAAAACTGCATCGTTTTCTGCTGCTCTGTGACGTTCAACAACATCATTTTGTGTCGTTTTCAATGAGGGCTACCTATCTTCCCAAATTGACTTCTTTCAACGAATAAAAATATTAAGCAATAATTTGGAGTATAAATCAATGTAACAATTCTTAATTTAAAGGCCTAAGATTTTTCCGTTTTTTTTTTATTTTACAGAGAATAATTATGACAACAGATATTGTCATATTTATTTGATGTGTTGTTTGTTACTAAATTTTAACATGCTCCGCGATCCAATGTTTGCACATTTAAATTATATTCTGGATAGGTTTGAAATAAATCTTGATAATTTTAAAATTTGTAATACAAATAATTTGAATTTTTTTTCGAAATACTGTATTTTACCAAATTTGGTTAGCATATCACGTTAAATAAAAAAAAGATATGACAGAAGTCCACGAACTTTTCTTTTTGCATTGTCTTTGCACCTCTGACGATTTTTTAAATGTATATAGGCTATTAATGTACCTCATGTACCAATATTTTGGTTCGTGCGAATAAAGTGGACTGAACTAAACATGCATATAGTTAGCGATGACAGTACAAACTGTTAAGCAGAGAAAATATTTTTACTTGTATTTAAACAATCCGTTATATTTCTAAAGCAATCTTTAACTTGTTTATCCTTGAATTAAACTTTTTATGTAGAGACTTGAACACTGAATTTCCCTCTGGATTTGAGTGTTTTAAAACAAATTACCAGGTATGCATTTTCTATTGAGTATCTGAATAATGTATATATATGTATGTATATGTAAATATTTACCTTTCCAATGTGTTTGTCCTAGATAAAATTTCAAAATGTAAATGTACTTTAGTCCCCATCAATGTATTGGCGAGGTTCCAAAAAAAAAATCACGTGCAGGGAGGAACAAACAGCTAGACAGAAGCAGGGCTTGGAGCAGGTGGATTGCAGAATCAAAGCATGTAAATATAAGGAATAACTGTCAGATTCCTACGTGATAACGAAAGAGCCATTATACGTGATTCTTGCGTGATAATTTTCGGCGTTTATGCAAATTATTACGCAACCCAGTCGATTGATCACATCATGAAATCGAAAAATAAAACAGTTATTCCTTAAATATTCCCCGAATTTGATAGAATTATAATGATGTCTTTATGTATATAAAATATTTTCAAAATTATTATTTCAGTTGTTATTCTGGTAATGCAGAAATGTTTTCAATATGGTAATTTCTGAAATTAAAAAGTCAAAAATTTTAAAATTTAAAGAAAATGGTTTGAAAATACAATTTTCTTTGATAATTCTTAATGCAATCAAAATAACATTCTCCTTTCAAATAAATAATTTTGAACAAAAATACTTATCGTTGTTAAAATTTTTTGTACATAAAGTTTAAAACTAATTTTTTATTTGATAATATGAAATAAACAATGTAATTCCATTTGTTTGATATTTTTTATTAAACCCTTTAATATAGATGATTAGGCTAAAGACTCATGGAGGTGAAAAAAGTAAAATATTAAAATAGAATTTGTATGTAAATATGTACATGTATGATTATGTTTATTATTTATACCCATTTGCAAATCAATTTATCATTGATTGTTTTATGCTGACGAATGCAGATAGAATTTTAAACGAAATGTCAATTATTTGTTTTGTGAAAATATCTCGTATGTGTTCCGATCGCACAAGTGTCTAAAATGCATGCAAGCTCTCAAGGGTGCTGCAAATAAAATTGTTTGTGTAATTACATATTTGAAAAAGCTATCAGGGTGTCTATTAGTCTCTAACTAAGTCAATAATTTTTCATAAATAGCTGTGTAAGTCTTTGCTACAAAACTTTATCAACAGAATGAAGAGTTCACTTTAAATGCTCATAAAGGCTTGAATTTATCATGTTTTTCTCATGCCATGACCATTTTAGTCACACATGGAAGTAGAACTGGTTTTTAGCGGACCAGAAATAAAGATTTTAATATAGACATGAAATATCTTTAAAAAAAAAAAGAAAAGAAAAAAAGGGGGTGATTCTGCCCAAACTCCAGAATCATATTACGTAGGAAAAGGGGTAAATGAAGGTTCCAACTTACGTTCATAACTGTAATTTTATTAATACTATATCAGATAATCTTATTTTGATATGTTCCAACGGAATAAAGGATATAATTAAATTTGGACAATTAAACTAAGAAAATTCATTTCGCAGTAGATTTGTTACTAGCTCAAGATAAACATATGTACCTGGTTAAATTAGGATGAGAGGGATGAAAAACAAACACTAATTAATTTTGATGGTGAGAAATAAGTTCATCCTCATTGTACATTTTCCATTGTAAAAGTTTACATGTAAAAGATCCCCTATGTGTATTAATATAACAACCTAAAGTACACTGTACCCATGCACACCACACGTGAGCCTTGTTCGGAAGGGTATAAATGTATTTTCTTTGAAATTGTGACCAACGACGTCCTGTCCTAAATGTTGAATTCTGGACTCTTTATTTAGATAATTCGTAGATTGGTTATTGTAAACCATAATCATATGAATTTTAGCTGATAAAATTTAAATGGCTAGAAATGAAGATTTTCGAATTGGTTTATAATAGGTGATTATAAAATTAAGATTTTTTTATGTATATGATATATAATTTCGGATTAGATAATGTACTCATGCAATTAAAGTCCGGCTTTTAGTACTTTCAGTACTTTGATTTGAGAATGGCAATAGAAATAACAAGCTTACACAAATTTACTGTGTCTCCCGCCAAAAGAAAAAAAGAAGAACATGCACGGGTCTAGAAGGGGTAGGTGTGACAGGGTCGGCTGGGGTAACGGGACACTTTTTGAAGGAGCGTTGCTTTAGGGTGTATGCAGAATTTATTAGTTACGGCATTGAACTTTGACCTAATTATCAAAAGTGTTTTTCTTATGCCAAAGGGAGTTGTTATGCAAAATTTCATTGCACAAGCTAAAAGGCTTCTCAAGATATCACTTGGAAATGAAAGTGTGATAGACAGAAGGCAGGGTGACGGACAGACCCAAATTCGTATCTCCCATTCCTTTAAAAAAAGTGATAAGGAAATTTATAATGCGTTGGAAATTATTTAAATAATTTGATACCAGCTAATTCATCAATTTAAATATTAAACTACATTTCAATTTTTATTTTAAAAGTCGGCCATTTTTTTTTTTATCATGTATAGTGCATTGCAAATTTTTGAAAAGGTAAGCAATTTTTTTAATAACAGTGTTTATTCCCATTCTCCTGCCGACACGATGTAGCCAATTAAGCTTCAAATAGAAGTATGAAGCAATATACCATAATCACCTCCTTACGGAGTTGATGAAACAGGAATATCAGCAGTCTCGTAAGTTCTATTGCTGACACAATGACATTGTCAGCAAAAAAAAAACCTAGCTATCATTAAGTCAAATACTAACTGACTTTTTTCATACTGGCCATTTTTTACATATTAATTGTCAACGGATTCCTCCCCCCCCCCCCCAAACTTGAAAAGAAGCACACGGTGGATGTGACCGGTCGACAGGGGATGCTCATTCCTCCATGGCCCCTGATCCCATCTCTGATGTTTTAGAGGTCCGTGTCCTATTTTGTATTGTTTAATGGACTTCTGCTCTTGAATACTGATCGTTATCTCGATACATTACATGACTTAAAACAAGTTGCTTTTGAATAATTCACTAATGACCTTTTATGAAATAATTGAATCTTTTATGCTATTTTAGGCTGTTTTCCGAAAGTGAAAGTAGAATTTTAATAAAGTTAAATTAGAATAAATTGTACAGACATCACTTTATACCTACTGTATTTCTTTAGGGGTTAATATGAACTTTAACGCAGGCTTAATCGAGTTTATTTGCAAAATTAATTAATTTATTAACTAGTATAGATGGGTTTTTGTATAAATATACCAATAAATATGTAAATATCCATTTTTAACAAGATGTGTTTGTGAAACACTATGCACCCGGTGGCAACAAAGTTCCTAAAGCTATTATTTAGCATATATGCCACAGTCAAGGTCACAAGGTTATTGACCTAAGTGTCATTTGAAATAGCTTAGTTCATGTTGTATACATACCAAATATGAGGTTTCTATCTCTCATGGTTCAGAACTTATGGCCAAACTTCGAAAAAGCTATTTTTAGCATATAGGTCACAATCAAGATCACAAGGTCATTGACCTTAGTGTCATTTGAGAGAGCTTAATTAGTGGAGTAAGCATACTAATATGGAGTCTTTATCTTTCATGGTTCGATAGCTATGGCAAAAGTTCGAAAAAGCTGTTTTTAGCATAAAGGTCACAGTCAAAGTCATAAGGTCATTGATCTTGGTATCATTTGAAAGAACTTAATTAGTGGAGTATGCATACCTAATATAAAGTCTCTTTTTCTCATGGTTCGAAAGTTATGGCGAAGATTAAAGTTGACAAGAGATAGACAAACAGATAAACAGTCAAACAGATAAACAGACAGGACAAAAACAATATACGTCTATATCTTATATATATCTATATCGATCCGGGCGCATAAAAATCACGCAATGCCTTATTGTACCTTATTAGTGAATAAGATTAGATATATATTTTTGAGGGGTTCTCATACTAAATTAATGAATTGCACAATGGAAATAAAATTAGGTTTTAGTGTTTATTTTTAAGTAGTCCTCTAGAACTTCCAATGCACATCTGCTACCGTTCTTGCTTATGCACTAATTCCATGATCCAGGCGGTTATGTGACATGCTCTGTTCAAAGAAGCTGTAAGATTTCTCTGAGTCTTATATATATTTCTTACTATTCAAGCTATTTTTATACAATGAACAGTTCACTCTACAGAAATCATCATATATCGGCAATAGTATTGGTTGATCGTATTGATTGATTGTTGCTTCCCTCTCGAGTATTTTCACTCACATGCAGAAGCCACCATATTTTCAATGATCATTGGGTAGCTACAAAGTCTGACCTATACTTTTCACTTAAAGCCATAGAGCAGTGATAGGTATTTTTCGTGCCCGCACCTTCTGTGACACGGTACCTCAACTTATACAGTCTCATTCGAAGGATTAGTCCCCGCGAAATGAATACAGTAAGACTAAACTCATTTTTCAGAACATAAGAGATTTGATAAAAATGTTAAACGTTTATCTTTTTACTTTACTAAGTAACATATGACTTTTAAAACACCCCTTCCCAGCCATTCAATTAAAACGTGCAAGACTGTCCTAAACAACAGTTGCAGCTAAATTTCTACGATACAATAGGTTCATCATTATCGAGATCTGAGCGAAGGAATTGTTCTTTGCCATTTTTAAATGCTCTTTTTCAGATGATAAGGTCGAATTTTCTCTAACTTAGAGCAGTGTAGCCACCCTTGGACTTCCGGTACAAGGACTGTCCTTAATGCATACGATACGTAAGACCCTGTTGAGGCGTTATGTAATGAATTTTTGCATCAACAACTCTCCATCACCTTTACATTGACATTTTTCAGCTACAGTAACGGAGATGCGTACTTAAGTCTTTTTCAAGAAGCCTTAGTATCGTAATTTAAAACAATATTTTCACTACTTCTTGTTTATATTTGTATTATATACTGACACGCAAAAGAAACGCAACACCCTACTTTAGGGTGAAATAATTATGTAAAGTAAAAACATTTAAATCTTAAAATTATGGATATCTTCAAATTGGTAAATATCGGTAATTTAACGGTTGAACGATTTTCATACCATAACCGGAAGTCAAGATTGAGTCTGCGTAACAGAAATCGAAAATTGCATGATTCACTAAACAGCTGGCAATATTTTGGAGTTTTAAGGGTTTGTACTGTTCATCTTAAGTAATGCAGCAATATTTCAAAAAATAAAATCTCCTTTCGTTTCCTCTAACGACGTTAAAGCTTCTTGAAAATGGCTTAAGTGCGCATTTCCATTGCTCTAGCTGGAAAATCACAAAGTAATGGCAATGGAGAGCTGATGATGCAAAAATACACTACATTACGTCTCAACAGGGTCTTACGTATTTTATTCATAAATGATATTCTTTGGACCGGAAGTCCAAGAGTTACTACAAAGCGCTAAGTTAGAGAAAATTCGACCTAATCATCTGAAAAACAGGCATTTAAAAATGGTAAAGAATAATTCCTTCGCTCAGATCTCGATATTCATTAACCTATTGTATCCTAGAAATTAA